CCCGATCGTGAAAACAGTGGCGTCCGGCATACAACTATTTTAATAATATTGTCAATATGTATTTTACACTTAATTATTGACAAACAATTATTATACGGTTGAAAATAACCCTTAAAATTAATAAAAGTATTTATCCGACGAAGGAAATCAGATCGCAATTTAATTTTACATTAAAAAAATAAATACACTAACATACGCTATAGGTAAACATTTCTTCAGATCCGTTGAGCAAAATAAAATTAACCCATAAAATTCATAAAATAATTATCCTGTGAAGTGTATACAACAGGGTGAACTTAACCCTTAAAATTCAAAATAAATAATTACCCTATGAAAACGATTGGATCCCAACTTTATTTTAAAATTAAAAAATCATAAATACACTCACCAAAGTACACTGTTAGCGAAAATCCCTTCTGACCCGTCAATCAGGGTGAAATTAACCCTTAAACTTCAAAATAAATAATTACCCTATGAAGACGACTAGATCCCAACCTTATTTTAAATTTAAAAAATCATAAATACACTCACCAAAGTACACTGTAAGCGAAAATCCCTTCCGACCCGTCAAGCAGGGTGAAATTAACCCTTAAACTTTAAAATAAATAATTACCCTATGAAGACGATTAGATCCCAACTTTATTTTAAATTTAAAAAATCATGAATACACTCACCAAAGTACACTGTTAGCGAAAATCCCTTCCGACCCGTAAATCAGGATGAAATTAACCCTTAAACTTCAAAATAAATAATTACCCTATGAAGACGACTAGATCCCAACCTTATTTTAAATTTAAAAAATCATAAAAATCATAAATTTTTGAAATTTAAAATAAAGTTGGGATCTAATCGTTTTCATAGAGTAATTATTTATTTTGAAGTTTAAGGGTTAATTTCACCATGTTTGACGGGTCGGAAGGGATTTTTGCTTACAGTGTACTTTGGTGAGTGTATTTATGATTTTTTAAATTTAAAATAAAGTTTTGATCTAATCGTCTTCATAGGGTAATTATTTATTTTGAATTTTAAGGGTTAAGTTCACCCTGTTGTATACACTTCACAGGATAATTATTTTATGAATTTTTTAGGTTAATTTTACCCTCCTCAACGGATCCGAAGAAATGTTTACCTATAGCGTATGTAGTGTATTTATTTTTTAAATGTAAAATTAAATTGCGGTCTGATTTCCTTCGTCGAATAAGTACTTTTATCAATTTTAAGGGTTATTTTCAACCATATATTAATTTTTTGTCGATAATTATGTGTAAAATACATATTGACAATATTATTAAAATTGTTGTACGCCGGACGCCACTGTTTTCCCGATCGGGTGTTTTCGGTTATTTTTACTGCTAAAAGTTACTGCTAACTTCACACCGGTTTGTAGTAGTAGACTTGTAGAAAAATATTTAACAATTTGTAGAAAATTTTACTACAATTTATAGTTAAAAACTATTCATTATTGTAGCAATTGAATTGTCGAATAAAATGCTACAACAATAGGAAAGAAGTCCACAATGTTTAGTATATTTTACTATTGTTTGTAGAAGTAGAAATTTATTACAATTATCGTAATTATTACTACTAACTTCTGAAAAAATTTGTACAAATATTAATAATTATCTCTACAAAAAATAGTAATTTTCTCTACAAAAAATAGTAATAATTTACATCCCTTCTTATGAAAAAAATTCAATTATTATTATTATTATTATTATTATTATATTATAAGCACCGATGCGTTTGAGAAAATTTTAATAATAAATTCTATTGTTGTTAAGAGCGTACGTACAATTTTTCGGGTATAGGAGTTTCAATGCTATTCTTTTTCCCAAACTATGAAAAAACTAAAGAATATTTTAAAAAAAATTAAAAAGTACAATAAAGAACGTGTT